TTATTGAGTTTGCTGGTTGATCTGAAATACATTTAGTTATTTAGAGACAGGGAATCATATTCAATAGTTAGTCTGTGTTTTAGTGTTGATCAATGTACTAGCCTATTCAGGGTAAACTGGGTAGCTCATAAACTGGGTAGCTCATAAACAACAGAAGTTTATTTCTCACAGTTCAGGGAGCTGAGAAGTCCAAGACCAAGGCATCAGAAGATTTGGTATCTGGTGTAGGATTGCTAAGAGATAGACCCCTTTTGAATGTAACCTCACCTGGCTGAAGGACTAAGGGCAATAATTCTATCATCAGGGATCTACCCTCCTGACCTAATCATCTCCCAACAGCCTCACCACCTAAACCATCATATTTGAGAGTTAGGATTTCAACATGTGAATTTGTGTGTGTTGGGGGGGTGGCATACGAACACTGAAACCAATAGCAATCAATATCTTTACACTCAAAGCTCCCACTCAGGCAGACCTCGACACTTATTTTGACTGGACATGACATGAAACCATAGCCATCACTGTTTGTCCATACCCACAGTACCTGATGTCAAGTGTGTGGTGTGTTAGGATGATTTTGGGCACAGGGAAATTCACATCTTCCAATATGGCAAGGAGAACAGTTTCAGAAGTGAGAACATGTAGTGGATACTCCCTGAAGGTCAGTGTATGATGATCTACACTTGGCAACTCAGATTAGGAAGAAAATAAAAGAAGCAGATTTTAGCTGTTTTCACATGTTTCCTTTATATGGGGTTTTTGTCCCCTTGTTAAAAAAGAAAAGGAAAAATAAAAGAAGATGAGAAGTAAAAGAGGAGGAAGAAGGGTAGGAGGAAAGAAAAAAGAGGAAATTCAAAAGACAATTTCAAAGACAAATTCAAAGAAAAAGAGAAGAAAAGAAGAGATGGAAGCATCTAATATTCAGAAGTTTTATCTCAAAATCCTGATTCAAAACATAACCTTCTGTGGGGTGACAGAGCTCAGTCAAAATAACACCATGCCTTCAACTTGTCTTTCTCAGCTGAAACAGTCAAGCCAACAGATATCAGCACCCCCTCTCCTGTTTTCTTCTCTCTTTTCTGTGAGTCTAGAAAGAAATAAGCCAGATCCCAGAGTAGCAGCCACAGAAGAGACTAGTGAAACGCTCCTTCTGCTCTGATGACAAAGGTGGAGATAAATGCAAGAAAAATTCTGATCTTGAGACACAAAATGGAGGATGCACTTGATTTTAATCCCCTCATTTGCCCCAAGACCATATTTTATTCCCTCAGGTCTCTGGGGGATGGGAAAAGTGGACACTGTCACAGGCACATCCTGGCTGGGAGAAGCCTTATGACCTTCTCCTCCAATAGCTACATATTCCAGGAGGGGAAACAAAGCTTGCCCAAGGGAGCCGAGCACTGAAAATGAGACTCTGACAACAAGGGCTACTTCTGTCTTTTTGTTGTGCTTGTTTGTTTGTTTGTGTCATTGACCCACTAAATGGGTTTCTTTTCTAGGTGCCTGATATTCAAGGAGCCTCAATTCAGGAGAACCAGGAGAGTGGTCATGGGAGGACTCGACAGGCTATAAATGATTGACACTGCCCAACAAACCGTGTCATCACAGGCCTTTAGATGGTGAGAGGGGAAAACAGACCTCTGGGGATGGATTCATGGAGATAGTCAGAGATAATGAGTAAACCAAAGGTTCCTAGAGCTAGGCTGCTGGAGTCACCATGTGCCTCACAACACCTGTGTCCATAACAAACTCGAGCCACTATCTGCTACCCCATCCATCATGAGCCCAGAAAAAAAAATTATCTTATTTTATAGCTGGAGGAACCGAGGCAAAAAGGGAGAAAATAGCTTTCCCAAGGTCACGTGTTAAAGGTAATGCAGCCATAATGAGAAACCTGATGTCCTGTCTCCCAGCCTTCTGTCCTGTAATTCTTCAGGAGTTAGTTCCTCTCATATATGTCACTGGTTTTAACATCAGGTGGGCCCTGAATTTTGGGGGGGTCATTTTCATATTATGGTAAAATATACATTATATAAAATTTACCACTTTAACCATTTTGAAGCATACAGTTAGTTCAGTGGCATGAAGTACATTCACATTGTCATACTCACCACTATCCATCACCCAAAATTTGTCCATCTTCTCCAACTGAAACTCTGCACCCATTAAACAGTAACTTCCCATTCTCTCCTCCCTATCGTCCCTGGCAACCACTTCTGAATGTTATTTTACTCTAAAGAGAAATGTTGACTTTGATCTTAGTTTACCATCAAAGATGTAATTAGATGCAGGAGGGAGGTGCGGGAGGGATGGAAGTAAATTCTGCACTGACTGTATGGAGAAGACTCCACCTGAGCATGCAGAGATGTGTGTGTGTGTGTGTGTGTGTGTGTTTAAAAGATTTTCCATCTCCCCACAGGCCTACTTGCAATTTGCTTCTGGGGTTTGCAGCCTCCTGGTTGCCTCAGTCAATTCAGGGACCCAGCATGGGCACCTCCTTTGTAGTTCCAGGAGCAGTTTTGTTGCCATGCAGGCCACATTCTGAGTTGAGGACTGTAAAGGTACCTGTTAGTTTTTAGTCTCGAAGATTAGCCCAAAAGATAGGCTGTTGCTCCCCTTCCGGAAAAGCCTGATTGGTAGGATTCTTCCAAGAACTCAACAGACATGCTTTTTCTCATCCCCTCACCAAATTCAAAACTAGACCTTATCACCTACAGCCAACATAGTACTCAACGGTGAAAAACTCAAAAGCTTCCCACTAAACTCTGGGACAAGACAAGGATGCCCACTATCACCACTCCTATTCAACATAGTATTGGAAGTCCTAGCCACAGCAATCAGGCAAGAGAGAGAAATAAAAGGGATCCAAATAGGAAAAGAAGAGGTAAAAGTGTCACTATATGCCGACGACATGTTACTATATATAGAAACCTTTAAAGTTCCACACAAAAACTAATAGAACTAATCAAGAATTCAGCAAGTTAGCACATTACATGATTAATGTTCATAAAATCAGTTGCATTTCTTTGCACTAACAATGAATCAGCAGAAAAAGAAAGTAAAGAAACAATCCCCTTTAAAATACCACCCAAAGGAATAAAATACTTAGAAATAAATCTAACCAAGGAGGCAAAAAATTATACACAGAAAACTATAAACCATTGATGAAGGAAATTAAAGAAGATTTTTAAAAATGGAAAGATATCCCATGCTCTTGGATTGGAAGAATCAATATTGTTAAAATAGTCACACTGCCCAAGGCAATCTACACATTTAATGCAATTCCTATCAAATTACCCAGGACATAGTTCACAGAAATAGAACAAATCATAATAAAATTTATATGGAACAACAAAAGACCTAGAATTGCCAAAG